GACTGTTTAAGGCCATACAAGGACTTGTGTAGGTCCATACATGGTTAGACATTCTAGATTCACAAAACCAAGGGCGGACTCGAATATCTCTTCCTCTAGATTTCCATGTAAGAATGCTGTGTTACATCTAATTGCTCCAGTTCTAAGTTGTGGTGAGCAACTATAGAGAGCATCATCCTTGTCTTATACTTTACTACCAGGGAAAGACTTCATTGAGTCTATACCCTCCTTTTGTTGTAACCTTTGGCTACTAACCTAGCTTTATACCTAGGGGGTCCTTGTAAGAGATCCATCCTTTATTTTAAACAACCACTTGCATTGAATATTCTTTTATTTTTAGGTTTAGGAACAAGGGACCAGTCCCATTACCTCCAATGAATGCATTTCCTCCTTCATTGCTGCCCACCCTTTGCCTTTGTCCTTTGAATTTGCAGCCTCTTCAAGGATTCAGGTTCTTTCCTTTGCACTCAGTACCTACAAGTAAGGCAGTTGTAATTAAATCAGCATAAGAATACCTTGTTGGGGTCTTACTCTCTCCTAACTCTGTCCCTTGCAAGTTATATTGTTGCAAGTCTTGCTGTGCCTCTGAGGGCTCTTCTGGTTCAGCAACTTCTTCTTGGGCACGATCATTTGGCCCTGTTTCAGCTTCAGTTGCAGCTTCAGTCTAGCTGGGGTATTCAGGAGGCTGGACAGTAGGCTCCACCTCAATTTGGGTAATTTCAGTTGAGGTTATGGGAGTATCAGAGGTTTGTTGGGTTTGCTCCACCATGATTGGTGCTTTTACATGGGAATACACCTCATTGAACACTACATCCCTGCTGACTATGATTTTGATCCATGGAGATCCTTTATCCCACAATCTATAGCCCTTTGTCCTTCTTGTACCCTAAGACACCCATTGGTAGATCTAGGTTCTAATTTTCCTTCTACAGTGTGTGCTAGCTGCACACCCAAAAATCCTCAAATGACTTAGATCAGCCTTCTCCAAACCATTTTTCTTCTGGACAGTATAGATCTATAGCTGTGGAAGGGCTCCTATTCACTAAATAGGCTGTTGTAGTTAATGCTTCCCCCCAAAATTATTAGGCAGACCAGAGTAAAGAGGATACACCTAACCTTCTCCAATAAAGTCCTGTCATCCTCTCAGCAACCCCATTTTGCTGAGGGGTTTTTCTAACAGTCCTATGCCTAGGATACCATCTCTATCCAGAAATTATCAAAATCATTTTTGCAGAATTCTAGACCTTATCGTCCTCATCTTTGACTCTATATCCCTGATTCTCTACTAGAAGTTTCCACTCTTGAACTTAACAAGGGCCTGGTCTTTAGACTTAAGAAGAAAAACCCGACTTTTCTACTATGATCTCAACAATGAGAGGAAAATAACTATTTCCTCCATGGGACCTGACCTTTTCAGGTCCCTACAAGTCTGAATGAAGGTACTCTAAGCACTTAGTAGCAAGGTGAGTTCCCTTTTTGAAACTCAACCTGTGCTGTTTTCCTAACACACAATTTTCACAAAAATCTAAAGTAGAATTGTATCTTTACCAACATCCCTTGGCTATTGAGGACATTCATCCCTCTTTGGCTCAAGTGCCCAACCTTAGGTGCCATTTTTCTGTTACAGAAACAACCTAGGTGCCATTTTTGTTACAGAAACATTAGTAGAGACAAGAGCATAATTAGCAGTTCAGAGTTATTACCGCAGAGAATGTCAAGCCATTTTTCTTTTCTCCTTTAAGGACAAGATTCTCATTTTTGTACCACACAAACATCCTTTTCAGCTCTATAACTACAACCAGATTCATCTAGAGTCCCTAAAGATATTAAGTTTCTTTTTAGTTCAGGAATAATCTGACTTAGTCAATTTAACCAATTTCCCACCAGTTAACCTTAGTGTATACTCCCTATCCCTTAACCCCACATGCATTATTATTACCCATAAACAGTTTCATGCTCATACAGTTCAAAATCTTGGAACCAATTTTTATTAGCTCATGTGAAAGGACACCAGAGTCTACACCCATTCATGTACACAGTCTGATTTTGACCAGTAAGTACTTCAGGCTCTTCTATGTGGGTTTAGTTGAAGCTATATTACTCTCAGTATTTCCCTGTTTCTGCTTTTTAATCCATCAAAGCAATTCTTCTTAGTGACCTGTTTATATGCAATAAGCATTTTCTGTTTCTCTTTAGGCCTACTGTTTCCTTTACCTTTTTCTTGTTCTTAAGACCATTATTATACTGTTTCCTTTACTAGATTGACTAGTTTCGCCTTTACTCTTTACAAACAATTGCTTCCATTCCTTCTTTGGGTTTTTAGTTCAAGTTCCCTAGCTTTTAAGCCTGCTACAATAAATCTAGACTCGGTACAGTCCCTGAGTATTGCAGTGCATTCTTTACAACCAAATAATCATCAGTTAAGAATTCAGTAATCATAGCAGACTAGTACTCCTAGTTCCTGATCAGTCCCTTTAGAATTAAGGTCATTTTAGAACTCATCTACGTTGTCTCTATAGACTTAGAACTATCTATCTTATAGAAAACAATGCACCCTTAAAAATGCAAGATTAGGTGCGAATTGTAAAGCGTAAAGTGTTTCGAGTTTACCCCACAAGGCCAGAGGAGTTCTCGGCCATCTACCTTCCGCAGGACATTGTCCGCCAAGTTCATGATGATTAGGTTGTACCCCTCTTCATCGATTTCTGCCTTTTTCTTCAGCTTATCCTCAGGCCATTTCCACATTCTTCTCCAGAGCCAGAGCCACCTTGTATGGGAAGCAGTGCCTTCATCTTTTTCTTCCAACTACTGAAGTTGATTTTCCCATCGTATTGGGTAATCTCCATTCTAGTAGTTGTAGACATTTTGTGTGAATTAAAGAAACTTCAAGATTCACTCTGATTTACCCTAAAGGTTCAATCTGATTTCTGACTTAATATCCCCAACGAGACCCTAGACTTTCAAGAACATATCAAATCAACGAATTTCACCTTCGATTTTACGATTTGGATCCTAGAGTGCTAAAGAGACTCCTGACACAAAGCCCCAAAATTGTTCACAAACCCTAGGTTGCTTAAACTTTCAATTGAACAAATTTGTCACTCAGAAATCAACAATCCTTCTCCAATGCTCTGATACCACTGTTATGTAAATCTTCCTAATCTTTAACACCAATCAGATAAAACAACCACAACAATACACACAAATAATCGTGGTTCACCTATCCAAGATTGGGTAGGCTACGTCCACGTTGAGCTCCGAATCAGAGAGCTCGCTGCACTAATCAATTACAATCAAGAGTTTCACCACAGATCAAAGATCACTCACCTCAAGAATACAACACAACCTTTCCCGTAATCCTACCTAGAGACACAATCAGATTCCCTATTAACTTGAGAGTAAAACCCCTCTCACTTGAATGAAAAACCAAACACTCACTCACCAAGATTACACAGATTGAATGTAACAAGAGAAAAAAAAACCCTTCAGCAATTGCTCTAAAATTCATGAAAGAAACCTGTAGCATTTTCCCAATTTTTTCCTTTATATAGTGTTGACCAGATTGTTGATTTTCAGCCATTGATCTGCAATTGATCAACAGCCAAGATTTAATTCAGCAGCTCCCAAAACGACGTCACACCACTTATGGCCAAATCAGCACTGTTTCATGTCTTCAACTCACACACACATATATTTTTCATAAATGAATGCAAGACTATCCTTTTAAGTCAAGTCTATGAAATAGAATCCTCAACACAAATTCACTGAGCTTATAGTATGAGTTGTCTATATATATCAAGTTCATAATTATGATATGCATTACAGAACAAAAGAAAAAAAAAATGCAGTGCTCGTTGTTGAAGAGAGTATTTTCATTGTTTCCTTGCTTTTGTTGTATGTTTTGCAAAATCCATCACTTGATGTGCTCTCATTCTACTGAAGAGCACTTGCCTTCTCAAATGGAAAGCCATCCTTCAACCTAGCCATTCTCTGACATCATGGACTCTTTCTTACGTAATTCCACTAAAATAAGTCCTGTACTTGGTTAGGAGTTTCCTGCAACTATGCTGGAAGTATCAGAGTATTAATTTGACCCAATGCACATATAACCGGTACACTTCATGAACTATCGTTCTCATTCTTTCCCAATCTTGCATATCTCGATCTAAGCATGAATGAATTTGTTGGTACTATCCTTCCTCAAATTGGCCACCAAACACATCTAGAAATCCTTTATCTTTTTTCAAATCAATTCTCGGGCTCTGTTCCTCTGGGGATGGTAGCTTGAAGTCTCTTTCGGATCTGACTTGAGCGAAATCAATTGACTGGTTTTATTCCTCCTTCCATTGCTAATTTGAGCAACTTAAAAGTATGTACTATTCAGCAATAACTTTTCTGGCTCTATTCCTATGGAGATAGGTAACTTGAAGTCTCTTTCGGATCTAGATTTGAGCACAAATCAATTAATTGGTTCATTCCTCCTTCCATTGGTAATTTGAGCACTTAAAAGTATGTTTTCTCAACAGCAATAACTTTCTGCTCTATTCCTATGGAGATAGGTAACTTGAAGTCTCTTTCGGTTCTAACGTTGTGCTAAATCAATTGAATGGTTTTATTCCTCCTTCCATTGGAACTAAAATTTTTGTATCTCTATAGCAATAACTTTTTTGGCTCTATTCCTATGGAGATAGGTAACTTGAAGTCTCTTTCGGATATAGGTTGAGCACAAATCAATTGAATGGTCTATTCCTCATTCCATTGGTAATTTGAGCAACTTAAAATTTTTGTATCTCTACAACAATAACTTTTTTGGCTCTATTCTATGGAGATAGGTAACTTGAAGTCTCTTTCGAATCTAGAGTTAGCTAAATCAATTGACTGTTTCTATTCCTCCTCCTTAGTAATTTGAGCACCTTAAAAGCATTGTACCTCTCCAAGAACAACATTTCTGGCCCTTTTCCTCTGGAGATAAGTAACTTGAAGTCTCTTCAGATTTAGCGATGTACACAAATCAATTGAATGGTTATGTTCCTCATTCCATTGGTAATTTGAGCAACTTAAAAGTATTGGACCTCTTCGAGAACAACCTTTCTGGCTCTCTTCCTATGAAGTAGGTAACTTGAAGTCTCTTTCGGATCTAGTGTTATACACAAATCGATTGAAATGTTCTATTCCTCCCTTCCATTGGTAATTTGAGCAACTTAAAAGTATTGTATCTCTACAGCAATAACTTTTCTGGCTCTATTCCTATGGAGATAGGTAACTTAAAGTCTCTTTCAAATCCAGAGTTGAACATAAATCAATTGAATGGTTCTATTCCTCATTCCATTGGTAATTTGAGCAACTTAAAAGTATTGTGCCTCTTCGAGAACAACCTTTCTGGCTCTATTCCTGTGGAGATAGGTAACTTGAAGTCTCTTTCAGATCTAGAGCTGAGCACAAATCAATTGAATGGTTCTATTCCTCATTCCATTGGTAATTTGAGCAATTTAAAGTATCTATACCTTAACTATAAGAACCTTTCAGGCTTTATTCCTTCTTCCATTAGTAATTTGAGCAATTTCAAGCATTTATACCTTAGCCATAATAACCTTTCTGGCTCTATTCCTTCTTCCTGTGCTAATTTGGGCAAATTAACACATTTGTACCTGAACAGTAACAACCTTAGTGGTTCTATTCCTGTGACATAGGTAATTGAAACTCTTTATGATGTAAAGTTGATACTTAATGGTTGTATTCCTCTTTCAATTGTAATTTGAGCAATTGAAGAAGCTTTTAAGCAACAATTTTTGTGGTTTTATTCCTCCTAGTGGTAATTTCGATGTAATATTAAATAATTGCATGTCAGTAGCAACAGGAAAGAGTTGCTATATATCAACTATAACAACATAAATTTGTTATTTATTATATTGTAATACTAAATTTACTTCCGGACTTTGTAATTATAACAGCATAATATTCCTCAACTCAGTTGATTCAGATGTTATCAAGCGTCTAGCAAGCAGCTTACATATATTTTCATGATTAATTATACTGGGCAGGAAATTTTAATATAAGTAGATTGAATTACTTAGATGTACTCAACCAAAAAGGCGTATTTTTCATGATTAATTAATTATTGAAAAGACATATACTTTAATTTTGAGCCGTTTCACCTTGTGATGTAATCTACTCACGGTTTAGTTTTCTGATGAGAGAGGAAAAACCGGCGGTTTCATTTGGTTCAAGATTGGGAATACTACTCTTAGTATTCCCAAAAAAGTTAAATAATAAAATACCCAAAAACTCTCATTTTTAGGAATACTATTTTCAATATTATTCAAATTTTTTTTAAACCCTCTAAATTTGTTAATTTAATTAAATACCCCTAAATATTTTTTTAAAAATTATAAAAACACCACAACAATCCACATTTACCAGATTCCGGCTATCACCATCGGAAAATGACCGAAATTTGGTAGGACAGTGCACTACCGGCTGAATCTGGTCGGTAGTACACCGATCTAGCCTTTTCCGACCAGATCCACGGTGGATCTGGCCAGAAAAGGCCAGATCTTTGGCCATAATAGTCGGTCACGACGACCAACAAACGGTCGTCGTTGACCATCAACGATGACCGTTTGTTGGCCGTCGTTGAGAGCAAATACGGCCATGCGCCAATAAGGCTACTCCGGCAACCTCCGGTGGCGGTGGCCTGCTGGGGGTATTTGAGGGTGGATTGGGGGTATTTTTGTTAACTTTTAATATTTTATTATAGGGGGTATTTTGTAAAAAAATAAACATAAGGGGTATTTTATTAATTTATAAATCCTACATTGTAATACCAGCCCAATTCAACTTTTTTTTAAATTTTTTCAAAAAACTTTTCTCAAAACCTCCAAATTTTGAACCAAACGAAGCCCGCATTAATTAAAAATATTTTGAAAACAGAGAATAGTTTGAAGGATAAATTGGTAATTTAAAAGGTTGAAATTTAAAAAATCTAACTATAAGCTCAGGCTTCGTTTGTTTCGCTTTTAGTATTTCCAAAAAAGTTAAATAGTAAAATGTCATTATTCTCAAAATATTATTCTATATTTTTTAATTTCTTTTAAACCTCTTAAATTTATTAATTTAATTAAACACCCCCAAATATTTTTTTTAGAAATTGTAAAAACACTTCGGCCACCCTCCGGTGGTGGTGGTCGGCTGTCCGTATTTAATGGGTGGGTTGAAGATATTTTTGTTAATTTTTAATATTTTATTATAGAAGTGTTTAGTAAATAAACAAACATAAGAGATATTTTTGTTAATTTCCAAATCCTACATCATAATACCTGTTTAATTTAACTTTTTTCAAAATATTATTCTAAAAATTATTGAAAAACATTATTTTTAATAAAAAAACAAAGGACAAATTGATAATTTAAATTTTTATATATAATTGATGGTATATAAATAATTTTATATTTAAAAAATGAGTATATTGATAATTGACTCTATTAGCAATAATATAAAATAATAAAAAAAATTATTAAGTTAAATAATAAAAGGTATTATCGTTTTTATAATCCAATAGTAATGGATTTTCTTAATAGAACATAATGATGCTGGAGGCAGTTGAGCTGGCGGCGTCGTCGCTCCAGCCGCGAGTTGGGCTGGCTACGACGCTGCCACCCCAGCTTGCGGCTGGGGCCTGCGACGCCTCTGCCCAAAATTGCCGCCAAGCCAACCGCTCTCTCTGCCGTGCACATTTTTCTTATGTTTTGTGTTTTATGAATTGTGGATTTGTGGAGTATATGAAGTTTGTGGGGTTTGTGGATGTGTGGATTTGCTTGATTAATGGAGGCTTTGTGAAGCCATAGACGGTGATAGATGGTTGTTAGGCGGCGTCGGTCAATCGGACGAGAAAGATTTTGCGGAGAATTATATCCTCGATTTCTTCTGTGATCTCTGCGGTTTTTGCGTTGTCATTGCGCTCTGATTTTAAGAATTTAGAGTTCAGATTTTTTTTAATTTTCTCGGGAAACAAACGGAAACTGGGGGAAAGTGAGAGAGAAAGTTAGCCAAGCCACTAGCGCCAGCCCAAGCCAAATCTGGTGTTGACGCTAGCAAACCTCAACCCAACAGCTTTTCTCTCCACCGCCTCTCTCCTCCATATAGTCCGCCATCTCCTCCATGCCATAGCCCTTCTCCTCAATCGGTCAAGTTAATTCTTTGTAATGGTGCTTTGTGGTGGTACTAGTTCATTGGAATGGATTTTAATCTGGTTGTGTTCGGTTACAGTACAGAGTTTTCTTTGAGAAGTCCTCATCTAAATTTGTTAGTTTTAGTTAATTGCTGATGTTTTTGGATCAATTTTTAGAAGTTTTATTTCTGATAATAGGGTTACAATTTGATTTCAAAATCATGATTTTTAATTAAAAATAAAAAATAAACGTTTTGCCCAGGCGGTGAAATTTTTTTTCCGTCAAATCTTGAGTGGGAAATTGTCGTCTTCCCTTTTATTTGAAAAATAAAAATCAAAAGTTTTTTTAATATAATATTTTACATACGATATTTTTATATAATATTTCTCATAAAAATATAATATCAGGTGGTAAAAAATAATTACCTAATTTTAAATAAAAAATAAACGTTTACTTAATTATCTTTTACTAGGTCATATTTTATAAAAAATATTGTATAAAATCATTATATGTATAGTATTAATCTTTTTTTCAATATATTATTTAACAAATTTCACAAAGACGTTAAGTCCTCATGACGTTATAAGTATGTTGATGACACTTTAAGCTGGCCTCAAAGGACTTCACACCGGTGCGTTTGTGGCATCTATGTATATTGTCCCCAACGACGATACACCGAGGAGTAATCAGCACATCTTTTGGTGTTGGGGAAAGGCAATCCCGAAGATAAATTTTCTTTCTTGGCGTAGGTCTATGTCGTGGTTGGTTGTATTTTCAATAGTGTTACTACATCACATAATAAACCATTCGATAATTCATATGAAATGATGCGAGGTGATAGTTTATGTCATTTTTTTTTTTTATGATCAAGAGTGTTCAAATCAATTTACTTGCACCTCAACTAATCCTCTGAGAACTACCGACTGTTTTTGTCAAATCTTGATTGTATGGCAAATTTTTGTTAAGTTTTGTTGTATTAAAGATTTAGTTTAATTTTTGATTAATTTATTATTAAAAAAATTTAGATGTTTTATTAATTTGATATTAATTCTTGATAATTAATTAAGGAAAATTAACCATCAATTCTTTTCTATTTAACTTCTCACCTAATTAAAATAAAAGAAATTAAAATCTTTCGGATCTAAAGTTGAGCACAAATCAATTGACTGGTTCTATTACTCATTCCATTAGTAATTTGAGTAAATTAAAAGTAAGGGTGAGTGGTTTCGGGTACTCTATATTTTTCGGAGAAACCGAAACCGCACAATGCTGATTCCCAAAAAAAGAAACTGGAACCAGAATCGCATAGTACATGTTTTTAAATTCAAGGAAACGTAACCTTAAATACAGGTTCAGGTTCCTTTCCCAAGTATCCTGTAAAAAATCAATTATCCCCTATTAGTTTAAAAAATGACAAAAATACCTTAAAAGTTTACAAATACACCCCTAACAAATTTTGATTACTCATTCATTTGTGTCCAATCTAACTCATAAATCCTCTAATCTCTAGGCAACACTTGAATTCAATCAATTCATCACAATTGACATAAAATTCCTGAATCAAAACCAAAACACAAATAATATCACAATTCACATCAAATAACTTCATCAAAATCATTCAAACAAGCAACAATATATGAAGTTAGAAATAAAAAATAAACTGAATTTTTCATTTTGCCCAAGCCGTGAAATTTTTTTTCCATCAAATCTTGGGTGGGAAATTGTCGTCCTCCCTTTTATTTGAAAAATAAAAATCAAAAGTTTTTTTTAGTATAATATTTCACGTACAATATTTTTATGCAATATTTCTCATAGAAATATAACATCATGTAGCAAAAGGTGATTACCTAATTTTAAATTAAAAATAAACGTTTACCTAATCATCTTTTATTACGTTATATTGTATAAGAAATGTTGTATAAAAATATTATATGTATAGTATTAATTTTTTTTCAACATATTATTTAACAAATTTCACAAAGACGTTAAGTCCTCGTGACGTTATGAGTGTGTTGATGACACTTTAAGCTGGCCTCAAAGGACTTCACACTGATGCATTTGTGGCATCTAGGTATATTGTCCCCAACGACGATACACCAAGGAGTAATCGAAAGGCAATCCTAAAGAATAAATTTCTTTCCTGGCGTAGGTCTACGTGGGGGTTGGTTGTATTTCCAGTAGTGCTACTGCATCACATAATAAACCATCATTTGATAATTGGTATGAAATGATGCGAGGTGATAATTTCTGTCATATTATTATTATTTTTTTTAATGATCGGAAGTGTTCGAATCAATTTACTTGCATTTTAATTAAACCTCTGAAAACTACTTACTGTTTTTGTCAAATCTTGATTGTATGGCAGATTTTTGTTAAGTTTTGTTGTATTAAAGATTTAGTTTAATTTTTGATTAATTTATTATTAAAAAAATTTAGATGTTTTATTAATTCTTGATAATTAATTAAGGGAAATTAACCATCAATTCTTTTCTATTTAACTTCTCACCTAATTAACATAAAAG